ACTTTTTATGAAGTTAAAATTAAAAATGGCATCCATTTTGACAAGAAAAGTACACTTTATTGTTTTTTGCATTGATCTCAAGAATGACCAAAATGAAAACCAAAAGCCGGAAATCCGCGAATCCGTGCAAAATTCTCATGCCTGAACCTAACGAGAAGATGCACGACATGACACGATGTGCAAACAAACCAGCCGAGGGCGCCACCCGTGTCCGACCGCCATGACAACGGCGACGTGTCATGGCGGAGGCACGCACTAGTTGAAGGATTAAGGAACTGTTACCTTGGTATACTAACCCCCTAAGAAGGATTTAAGTTCTGTTACACAGCTGTAAAATACTATAGAATTTCAAAGTCTAAAATAAAAAATATATAAAAAAATAAATAAAAAATACTGGGGTAGCTGCTAATGAAAATTTCAAATATAGTTAAGAGTTTCCAATAAATGATTCTTATTATAAAAAGCATTCATGCTAGTAGAGAGATCGACAAAAAATTATTTTCCCTGGTATTAAAAACAACATTACAATTTAACCCAATCGGTTTTGCTTTCTTTCAGCGGTTGTTGAGAACCCTGCACATGTAAGGAACAGGGCTATTATTTTACTAACCTCCTACAAAGGCATCTCCCGCTCCATTTGTGTCTACGATCTTCTCCTTCTCTATAGGAATGATTGCATACTCAGTGAGCTTGCCACCTATAAATAATGAAAGGACATTCGCACACACAGGGCCTAATCCAAGCCATCTATAAATAATGAAAGGACATTAGCACACACAGGGCCTAATCCAAGCTTTAATTTTTTAATTATAATACACACGGCCTAATCCAAGCCATTTTTCATACCGAATACCGGCGCCCAAATTACGACCCCTAGCAAAATGCCCAGATTACAAAATTCATAAAACGCCCAAATTAGCAGAGCTCTGATGCAGATCTCCATATTTCTATCGTTATGTAGGCACTGTTTTATAATAAAATGTTCACATATGATCTATAATCTATTATCTGAATACAATTTTAATGTTCTAATACATCTACAGGCCCTATACCTAAAAAATATTTTCGGCTCCCTGCGCTCGCCAACAGTCCCAAAAATTAGCCCCTGGCACACGTTCCATGTGCTAACGTTCAACACCCACAATCTAAAAGCGATGCTTCAGACTTATTTGCCGCAAGGCGCCGAGGCAGTAAACATCACCCATCAAGAACTTTGGTCAGCAACTCTTCTCTTACCCTGTTCCGTCATTTAAATCATGAACATATGCAAATATTTGTGCGCAGTGCAGAATTACTGGCGTAGTTTTAGAAGTACCCTCATCTGCACTCTAGCCTGCCTTTTCTATTGAAATTTAGAATCTAAGGACTAATTTTCTTAATATTAATGGAGGCTATTAGATGGAAGGCTGTTGCTGCTAGTATCACTTAATTACCTTCAACAATTATGGTTGGCTCTGCACCCTGTGTTATAACCACAGTTCTACTACGCTTGGAATTGTGCTTTGGCAAGCTTGCAGCCTTCAGTGCAATTTCCTTCACATCCTTGGTCTGCAATGACATTGATATGAAATTGATATATTATGTATACATATGTCTATATGAGTATACAATATATATATATATCAAGAACGGTGTCATACTCTTCTCTATTATGTACTCTTGATATAAATGTACATACATACATGCATGCATGCATACATACATACATACATACATACATACATACATACATACATACATACATACATACATACATACATACATACATACATACATACATACATACATACATACATACATACATACATACATACATACATACATACATACATATGCATGCAAGTGCTTGTGCATAGATGTTATATGTGGATGGATGCATAAGAGCACGTATCTACATTTTATCAGTAGAAAATAAAGTATTAAATCCTTGGTCTGCAATGGCATTGATATAAAATTGATATATACATACATCTATACAAGTATGCAATATATATATATATATATATATATACATACATACATACATACATATACATGCAAGTGCTTGTGCATGGATGTGTGGATGTACAAGAGCATGAACCTACATTTTACTATCAGCAGAAGATGAAGTATTAATTAAATCGCCATACCCCGAATCCCTGAGCTTCAGAGAATGCTTCAGCCTCCTGCCAGAGAGCAAACAGGATCAGTTAGACATTTCATAGTCACACAAATAATCAACAATTATTTTTTTCATTAATAACAATCATTACTATTAAATAAACTATTAAATATTAATCAGTATTAATAATAATAATTAACGATTTAAAATATTAATCAATACATTATTATTAATACATAACAATAACAGCTATCATTAAATTGACTAAGTCACGAATTTTCTATGGTGTATATTAATTTTGTAAAAAAAAGTCCAATTTTTTTACGCGAAAAGTAAGTACTAACAGGACTCAAATTCGTGCCTGATTCAAATTCTTGCCTGACTCAAATTTCTCAAATTCTTGCCTGATAATATTGTTTTTCAACTAGTAGTTAAAAATCCAAAAAAAAACTGGGCGATTTGATATATTGATCACGGCATTAAATGCTTGCTATGGGCTATGTATGAGTCACGAATGTTTGTTCACATCAAACGGAATAGCAAAATAGGAAGTATAATGCAGCAATTTAACCACAAAAAGCGAACAGAATCACTTGAAAAAGTGGACATAATTTTTTTACTTTTGCTATTTACGGCAGGGGCGGATCCAGAGGGTTTGGGTGACCAGTTTCCATAGTTCTAGTCACAGCTAGGGGGGTCCGGGGGCATGCCCCCCGGAGGGAATTTAAAA